CAAAAAAAAAAAACCCAACTCATTAGTAAATATCAAAGCCGTAGTAGGAAGGTTGATGTGATGAAAGCAATGAATCAGATGTTCACATAAACAAACTAATGAACATCAGAGCCATTTTTATGACTGTAACAGAATACTTAGTTCAAAGGAATAAATGTCTTCTGTACACTAATTACTCATTTAATATAAAAGTTACTTTTATTTTAYTGTGTTACACAGAAAATAATACTGGTAGTAATATCCATTTGAAAGAAATAGTTTTTTTAAGTCTTTACTTACCCTGTGGGGACTTGCAACACTTTCAGGAAACRTTTTTGGCTCCTGAAGAATTTGAGAAGCATCTGCTTCAATGAAAATATTTCCCTTCTAAAATGCTGAACATTTAGCACTTACTCATAGGCATTTCATAGCTGTAAGAGAGAGTGGATAACAAAAATCACAGTCTGAACTTGGGAAAAATAGTTTGACTTATTGTTCTTGACTACAGAAAATTACAGTGCAAATGTAGGAAAAAAGGTGTATGTTGCAAAATTGGATAATGCCAGAATTTTTTAGGAGTACATCACTATATACCCACTTCAGTAATACACAATATTATGTATGTCACTAAATTCATCTACAATGTCTTTGACAACATAATAGAGGAAATAGAGTCACTTTGATCATTTAGTCTATGGATGATTCAGCCAACCAGCTTCCAAATCTACAAGCAAAACCAGTTGGAATTAATAAATTTTCTAAGAAATGCAATTCCCTTCATTTGGGCATAGTTTCAGGAAATTCAAAGTTAATAAAAAAAAGGGGGGGAGAAAGGAAAAAATAAGTCAAGTAGGTGAGTTTAAAATAAKATTCTTGTTCACTTGACATTTTCAAAAGGAAGTATTTCAACTTAAGTATGTTTTTGTTTCTAAACTGCTTTTAACTTCTGAAGCATACTAGAAATTACCCAACTAGAAGCAAATATACCCACTCCATGTGAAAAAGAACCCCAGTTATAACTGTAACCTTTTTCTTCACTGTGCAACATTTCTGGACTAGCCACTGAACTAAAACATCCATTATTTGAATAGAYCTTCCTTTTGGTTTCTCTAGGGACTATTCTCTGGCAGTGGTATAACTGTGCCCATGTTATCTAAACTAAAATACCAATATAGAGACCAAAGGGATACAGCCATACATGAAACAACCAATTTTTGACTTGTTAAGAAAAATATCTGGATGTTTTTCTGAAGTGTTTATAACATCACAAGATAGAGAGRGTGTGTTCACTTTGTTGTATTCACCCTTCTCATTGTCTCTCAGTTTAGTCTCCTTACAGTGCTGGAATCCGATTTTGCAATGCRAATGGCACAATGACTTTCAAATGTGATGGAAGAATTAAAAAAAGCCCAAAACAATAACAAATAAATATCCCCACAGAATTTCTAGAAGTATGGCTACCAAAAGCTGCTGAAATACCTCTGTATGTGGGTTTATCAGACATTGAATATATGGACACGTTTAGGGAAACTTGGAAATCGAAAAGCTGGAATGAATGTAGAGAAGAGTAGTTTTAAACGTCTGTTTCTAAGGGACCCAAATCATAAATTTTCCATTATGATGACTGCACTGATATCTTAGTGCAATTTAGAAAATTACTGCCTATTTGATTATTTTGAAAGAAGTACTTTTTTATGTTGAATTCATCCTATGAAATACTATTTATCTATATAACAAATGACTGAATGACTCACTACAGAAAATGAGTGGTTCACCACTTCCAGGGGAAAATACAACAGAGTGAAGATTATATTAAAGAAAATGCATTAATACATAAACAATGTGATCTTAAGCTTCTTAAGAAAAGGGTAAAAAAGAGAAAAAACTGCTGCAGCTGGAGAATGGGAATACCAACAGCTCTCTGAGTAATATTACAGCTTCAACCAGGAAAAAGAAGGGCTCTCCTCTCATGCAYAAGAGTTAGAAACCTGAAAAAGGATGAACCACCTCCCAAAGCAGAAACTGAAGCACAGTATTTCTCAGCAATAAATGCATTCAGTAATCTGGGACAGGATTTGTAGAGGYCCCGTTAGTCGCCCATCCAAAGAATAAATCTGGTGAAGAAAAATGTTCATCAAATGTCTTGGTTTTGACTACTGGCCATTGACCCAGGCCCTGTTTGCATGCATACAAAAGTTAGATGTCTGASAAATATTCTACGCTCCACAGCCAGAATGCAAATTCAGTAAAAGTAGGGTAATTAACAAGCTTTTACAAACATGGGTCATGTCAGTTTATTTAGAATATTTGTCTTGTTTTTATTTTTTTTTTTAATAGAATTTTAAATTCAACCATTTAAAACAAATTAAAAAATAAAAKGGGTGCTCCYAAACTTCTCAAGAGCTAAACACCAGGTAATTTCTGGGTATTTTAATGTATAGAATTGGCACTTTTCTAGCTGATCACTTTTAGATGTCTTTGCTGAAGACATGACTGACCAGTATTTATTTCCTAATTGTACTAATCTTCAGAATGAAAGTGCTATTTAGCAGCTTTAAATTCCCTTAAAAATGGTTACAGAAAGCATTTCCATAAAGCTACTTTAATCCTATTCACTCTCATTTCTAGACATTTCCCATGCATGTCTCTGACAGTGTCCTTGCATTCTGTTTCCATTCTTAATAGGTGAAATTATTATAAATCCTGGATGTTTAAACTGATCTGAACCCAGTTGTTAAGGTCAGCAGACAACAGAGGAAATCAATGGAAAATGAATAAAGAACACACGGATTTTGCCTAATTGGCTCATGTTTCTGCAGTATGTGACAGCATGCTGTTGAAAATGCAAAACCCAAACRGTTACAAGTCTACTATTGCAAATGGTTTCTCTTTT